CCCAGAAATCTATTAAAAACAAAGAACTGGTTCAAACAAGGTGGAAATTACAGGTGGTCCTCAACTTACAACCAATTGTTTAGTGATCAGTTCAAAGTTACAACAGTACTGAAAAAAGGGACTTACGATTGTTTTTCACACTTATGATTGTTGCAGCATCACTATAGTGACATGATCAAAATTCAGATGTTTGGAAACTGGCCTGCATTTACAATAGTTGCAGCATAAGGGAGTCAAGCGATCACCATTTGTAAATTTCCTAGCCGACTTCCAACAAACACTCAATGGGGAAAGCCCGATTCAATTGCCTGATTCGTTTAACAACAGCCGTGATTTTCTTAACAACGCTGGCAAAAACACTGGGGCAAAACAATTGCCTTGCTTAGCAACAGAAATGTTGGGCTCCATTGCGGTCGTAAGTCAAGGACTACCTTGCCCTGTACTTGTTTTTGATTTAGCACGTTACGTGAACCCAGTTACTATGGCCCTGTAAAAATCATGGCTGTACACATCCAGAAATGGCTCAACTTGTGAACTCTCTGCTTTCCTTCGCATACTGTGCAAACGCAACCCGGAGGTGTAAGCAAATGCATCGTGCCTAAACAAATCCTGGTTTAATTCTTCCTGAAAGGATAAAGAGAAATCCGAATTTTTTTATGCCACGGTAAGGGGTGAAATCTGCTATGCCTCTGCATCTCCTCTCCTCGTGAAAAACCATAAAAGCTTTTCTGTCGCTTCGATGTCATGGGAAAGGTAATGCTCTGTCCGGGGACACTCAGACTGACATGGGACACTCAGACTGACATGAGACTGACATGCTTCCCAAAGAAGCCCCAGAGATCACTCCTCTTCCGGGCCCGGCTCCCCGGATTTGACTGAGTTCCTTCCCGCCCAAGGATGCGCCCGCCCGTCTTGAAAGAAATTTGCGGCAGACGCGGGTGTAGTGCCGCCTCGAAGCCCTAGGGCAGGGGTAGTCAACCTTGGCTCTTTTATGACTCGTGGACTTCAACTCCCAGAATTCCTGAGCCAGCTAAGCTGGCTCAGGAATTCTGGGAGTTGAAGTCCACGAGTCATAAAAGAGCCAAGGTTGACTACCCCTGCCCTAGGGGACCCGCTCGAGCAAAACAACGTGGGGAAAACAACACAGAGGAATTTAGAGGAAGGCGGCGAAGAGAGCCTCGTCAGGCCGCCGCACGGCTCCCTGGAACCCAGACCCCTTTCTCCAGAAGGGCTGCGAATGCCTGCAAAGGCTCAGAGGGACCCGCGCCTGGGGTTTGGCCCAGGAGAACGTCACTCACATCCCCTGGACGTCGGGGGGCACCGGCTTCCGGGTGTATCGCGAGATCATCCTCCCGCCTCAGCGGTTCATCTCGGTCCTCGTCGGCGCAGCCGGCTGGCCGGCTCGGCCCCGGCCGCCATGGCGACGCCCCCTCCTTCCCCTCCCTCTCAGGCCGAGCGGAAGTCTCTTCTCTATGGTGGCGAGAGGGGGTCGCGCAGCCGCGGCGCGCAGCGATGACGTAGGAGCAGCCGCTTCGCCGAGGGCAGCCAGGAGGTGAAGTCGGCGGCCCCGCGGTGAGTCCCGGTTGGTCGTTTGTTCTGGCAGCGCGGTTGGTTCTTTTTGGCGGGCGTACATCTTTTTTTTCCCTTGTGGTTTATCGGCAAAAGTATGGGAATATCCATATATTATATCTAGAAAGAGTTCTTTTGCAAACACTAAAGCAACTTCAAAGCCAGAGGTCTTCAAACGTGGCCCTTTTATGACTTGTGGACTTCAACTCCCAGAATTCCTCAGCCAGCGTGCCTGGCTGAGGAATCCTGGGAGTTGAAGTCCACAGGTCATAAAAGGGCCAAGTTTGAAGACCCCTGTTCAAAGCCAACGAAGTAACTATTAATATAGTACTTAGTTGAACTGATAATAGTGCCTCAGAGGAAATTGGAAAGTCAGAATAGAGCTGGAAAGGGACCTTGGAGGTCTTCTAGTGACTAGTCCAACCCCGCTGCTCAAGCAGGAGACTGTACCAGCATCCTGACCGCAGCATCAACTGCGCAATGGGGCGGGAGGGTAGAGTCTTGTCTACGCTGCCTGGCTGCCATGTCCTTGGCTTCACTGCTCCGCGTGGGCCACGCTCGGGGGTGATTCTCCTCCCAGGGGGGCTGCTAGTGAGGAGGGGGTCGTGGGGGGAGGCAAGGGTGGGACAACGGCACGTGTGCCCACAGAGAGAGCTCCAAGTGCCACCTCTGGCACGAGTGCCATAGGTTCACCACCACTGCTTTATTCTGTTCTTCATTTAGTCTTTCTTGTAGGCCAGTTTGGTCTCTCCAGTAGTCAATAAACCTTCCTGATATACTAATTTCAGTACATCTTCATCACTGTCCTTCAGATATTCTTCCAAAGCCATTTTCTCTTCTTCAACCATCTGATGTACTTGCAGAATTCCACGTCCACCTATTTGCCTTGGTAGATAAAGTCTGTCAATATCACTGCGTGGATGAAGGGCATGATTCATTGTCATTTTTCTGGTCGTCCTATCCATTGCTTTTAGTTCTGCTTGAATCCAGTCCACTATTCCAGCTGTGTATCTAATGACTGGAATTGCCCAGGTGTTGATTGCCTTTATGGTATTTCCTCCATTGAGTTTGGACTTTAAGATCTTCACTCTCTTGATGTATTCACCTCTAATCTTTTTCTTGACTTCAGTGTGCTTGATGTTGTCAGCTTGAAGGATACCCAAGTATTTGTAGTAATCTTCCTCATCCAGACTCTTAATGTTATTTTCGTGGGGCATCTTGATTCCTTCAGTTTTCACTATTTTTCCTTGTTTGATAGTAAGTGTGGCACATTTGTCCAANTAGTCTCTGTTCTGTTATTTCTGATTCTGGATGTTGTTCTTTCCAGAACTGGTGCATTCGTTTTAGATATCCTCTTCTTGTTGGACTTGATCTGTAGTAACAGATCATTATTTCTTTGTTTCAATCACTGTGTATTTGTGACAGGTAAACACCTTTTCTTCCAGTAGTTCTGCAGCTGCTGGCCCTGGTTGTTCAGCCAACAGTCCTGAGTCCTGTAACCCATTTTTCACCAGATATCCAGGAATTCCAACATCTAGCGCGGACCTTGTTAACCCAGGCGACATCCGAGCCGGTATGACTTTCTGAAATTTACATCTCACCATATTTTTTATGGGAGAGACACTCTTTGTCTGACTCCTGATGAGACCTGTCCAGTATGGTTGAACCTCTGGCATAGCTCTCATCTTCCTCAGAGTACACAAGCCCCACAACCATGTCAAGGTACTGCCTCACTGGGGGTTGTTATTGTTATTATTATTATTACTACTACTATTACTACTACTACTACTTACTGGCATTTTAATATTGAAGCACTGTTTGTAGAAATGGCTTTAAAAATTTTCTCTTTTAAAAGGGGCCTGTGAGATGCATAATGGAGGAGTTAGGTTTTGTGACTGTAGATGATGCAGTCCATTACCAATTATTCCTGATACATGAATCAGAAGACCCAGAACATCATCAAGATATCCTACAGCAATATATTGAAAAAATACTAGCATATTTTGCCCCTATCCTGGTTTCCTACATCTGGCAAAATGAGTCATTTAATCTAAAGTACAAACCTGCAAAAGGTAAAACTGCGTTTATATCTAATTGTGTCTTATACACACTAGCAATTCTACTGCAACCTTCTCTGCCTCCTTAAGCCCTTTGTAGTGTATGTTTTGGAAAATGGGGGGGGGGGGGAAATAGTATTCCCACTGTTGTAGTGGCAGTGTTCTTCACAGCTTATTTTCTCAAGAAACATGGTTATTATTGTTTATGTTTCAAATTGAGATGACTTGAAACTGTTTAAGATTTGATTCATACAAAACATTTTTTTAAAAACAGCCTTATGTTAAGTTTTTATATTATATATGTATCTGTTGCTTAAAAAGGTAAAAATAACAAAATTTGATTAAACCATGAACAGCAAACAGTTTACCAACCTCCATTTTTCTTTACCCACAACAACCCCAAATCATATGCCAAAATTTAGTGATGAAATTGCCAACTTTCAGCAGTACAGTTTCCCCAGCAAAGCAGTCGTTTTTGGCAACATAAAAAATTGGGAAAAACAGGAAAAATATAATTTCTCCTTTTTTAGAGAAAGTTATTTCTCTAAAAGTAGCAATGTTTTGCTATATTATGTAGCGTTTGTCTCACAAATGGTTGCTAATAGTTCTTATTGTCAGGGGGATCGTTTTGTGTTGTTTTATTAATTGTACTTTTATTGTTCAACTGATTTAAATAAAGTTCTTCTGTCTGTTGCTTTGGTTTGTTTTAGTACATATGGATTGAATGTTTTAGGCCCAGGCATATGCTGTTTAGAAATAATAGAAAAAACTTGTAGCTCATTTTTTTTTATTTTGGCAGTGGTTTGCTCTCCAAGCTTGGTTCAGTTTAGTTTCTGAACATTTTGTTACCTGACTAGGTAACATTATCAGCAGGATGATGATCACAAAACATTTATAAGCTAAGGAAAATAGGCAAGAAAATCCTGCTGGTGATATTATTTTGTCTGGTAACGAAACATTCAGAAACTAAATTGAAACAAGCTTGGAGAGCAAACTACTGTGAAAATATGTTGTTTAGGTTTTGGAGTTAAGCTTCATTACTTTTAATCTTTTATGATCTGTCGTGAGTCACTGTTGTTAGATGGGTGACCATATAAATTGATAAATAAGATACTGATACTAGGATTGACTGCCAAATGTTTTCTGGGAATAATCTAATAAATTCTGTTCTTCTAGGAAATCTACCTGCTCATATTGCTGGTCTCACAAAGTTTGGAGATAACATTGAAGATGAATGGTTTATTGTTTACCTCATAAAGGAAATTACAAAGGAATTTCCAGAATTATTAGCTAGGTATTTTTATTTGCTGATTAAATAGATGATGATTTTAGCTGTTTCTTGTAAATATAATTTAATATATTTATCTTTGCACACGCTTTATTGAAATAAAATTTGGAGGGAGGGGAGGAATTTTTCTGTGAATAAAGACTACATTATCACATGGTATCCATATGCATTGAATTAAATTAGGACACACTAATTCCATATTATGAGAGAATACTCTTTATTTGAATAGAGTGAATGATAATGATGGTGAATTCCTTCTGATAGAAGCAGCTGATTACCTTCCAAAGTGGTTGAGTCCTGAAAATAGCATGCATCGGGTAAGAGAGATTTAAGAATTGCAATAGTGGCAAATTTAAGAATGTCAAATATCTAAAAAGCTATTTTTTAGGAATATATACTGTAATTTATTTTGAATTTCTTCATTATATTTTTCTGTAAGATTTTGGAGGACTTCATCCTTTCAGTGATAGACTTGATGATTTCTGAGAGACTGTAAAAAAAACTTCCAGATTTAATAAATTAATATATATATATATATTGTCAGATATTCTTTCATAGTGGAGAATTATGCATAATTCCATTACCAAAGACTCCTGAAGGGAAGAAATTACTACCTGGTATAAACCCTACAATTCCCCAGGTCCTGAAATTATTTTCTGCCCATTCTGAGGATTTTGTGGCTTCAAAATCTATTAAAGCAGCAGTTTATAAACGCATCAATGGGTAAGTGACTGAATCTGAATATACATGTTCAGATATATATACCCATATATACCTGACATGCTGGTTCATACACATTTATTTATAGTAGTCATTTTTGTTCACAATATTGGGAAGTAACATGCTGCAACATTTTACTGAAATAAAAATAAATAAAATGCTGCAGATTATCTAGTTAGCTATCAAAGTATTGTTAAAGTGGCCTCCTATGAATAAAATATAATTTATAATTCTCTGGCAGGGATAGCTAACACCCCAGGCTCAAAATCCAAAAGGATCTTGACAGACTTGAATACTGGGCCCTATCTATCAAAATGAAATTCAATGTAGATAAAAGTTTTACACTTAAGCAAGAAAACCAACCGTACAGGTACAGATTAGGTCAAACTTGACTCAATGCCAGTAACTCTGAGAGGGATCTTGGAATATAAGTGGACAATTACTTAAATATGAGGCAAGAGTATGCAGCGGCAGCCAAAAAAGCCAATGCAATCATAGGCTGCAGTAATAGAGGAATAGAATCAAGATCACATGAAGCATTAGTACTGTTTTACAAAGCCTTAGTATGGCCCTACTTGGAATACTGCAAGTTTTGGTCACCACAATATGATAAAGATGTTGAGACTCTGTAAAGAGTACAGAGAAGAACAACAAAGGTTATTAGGGGACTAGAGGTTAAAACGTGAAAAACAGTTACAGGAATTGGGTAGTCTAGTCAAAAGAAGGA